TCTGAGGAACGCTGTACCTTGAGCGGGGAGTGGTTCCATTTCTTGGGAGACCGGGTTGGTAGTATTTTGCCACCGGGGTATGATTCGCGAGGGCGAAGTGAGCTTAGTAGTCTACTTGCTAGTTTTGAGAGTAGTGAGTGTGTTGAGACACAGGTTGTGTTGCCGAGGGTGGTTTGTGAGTATTTGGATGTTTTTCCCGAAGATCTTGTTAGTTTGCCACCTTACCGAGAGATAAAGTTCTCTATTGATTTAGTGCCCGGTACGGCGCCGATTTCTATGGCACCTTATCGTTTTGCTCCAGCAGTCCCGGCACGACGCCGATTTCTATGGCACCTTATCGTTTTGCTCCAGCAGAGTTGGTTGAGTTGAAAGTTCAGCTCCAGGATTTGCTCGATAAGGGCTTTGTTCGCCCTAGTGTTTCGCCTTGGGGAGCGCCGACCCTCTTTGTTAAAAAGAAAGATGGTGCCTTGAGATTGTGTATAGACTACCGGAAGTTGAATCGGGCTACGGTTAAGAATAAGTATCCTATGCCCCGTATAGATGATTTGTTTGACCAATTGAAGGGTTCCCGTTGTTTCTCTAAGATAGACTTGAGATCAGGTTACCATCAGTTGAGGGTCAGGGACGAGGAAGAGGTGCTAGGCGTGGTAGACCTGCGAGGCAGGAAGTACCGTTACAGGGTGAGATTCCGGCAGTGTCTTACCACAATAATGGCAGTTTTTATGGACTTGATGAACCGGATTTTCCGGGAGTTCTTACACCGATTTGTGGTTGTTTTCGTGGACGATATCCTTATCTATTCGTCTTCTGAGGAGGAGCACGAGGCACACTTGAGAGTGGTGCTTGAGTTACTCAGAGCCCATAGGCTGTATGCCAAGTTTGGGTACTCAGAGCCCATAGGCTGTATGCCAAGTTTGGGAAGTGTGAGTTCTGGCTGAGGGAAGTCAAATTCTTAGGCCACGTGGTATCCGGGAAAGGGGTGTCTGTTGATACATCCAAGATTGAGGCAGTGCAAGATTGGGCATATATGAAGCCAATATACTACTAGCTATAACTATAGAATTCTGGATATATGAAACAGAGATGTACATAGGATTTTTGTTTTGTATATGAAGCGAAAGACTTTTGTTACATTTATTTATAACTATAGCAGGGGTGACCATTTGTTCAATGGTTAAAATTTACCCTAATAACCTTGAGGTTATAGGTTCAAGTCTTGGGACTACCACTTTGTGCATTATGCCAAAGGTTAGGTGTGCACTTAATCTTTCTCTTCCCAAATATATATTAATGTGTACTAATTGGGCGTTATTTTTTTATTTATAACTATAGCATAAATTATGTCAGCAAAGTCGAAAAATAAAAAGCAACAAGCCCACAAAAGTAGCGTATTACTCAAAAACCTTACAATTTCATGACATCCATATCTCTCTTCCTGTTTGGCATGATGAATATAAGTGCACTTATTTAGATAAGTGTACTTATTTGGATCACATCACCTTTATATTTTTCTGCACATCTTTTTGTAAAAAAATAAAAAGTATATTTATTTAGATCATCCTAGATAACAAAAAATTATGTATTTACCACCCTGCCAAATTCAGAACAAAAGAAAATAGATGTAAGCACATGAAAGTTCAATTTCCAATAGGTAGGTCCATATAAATATATATATATATATATACATATCAAATTCAAACATATAATAACAAAAAAAAAAAAAAAAAATACAGAAAGTGAACTACTAGAATGTGCTATGGCAAGATCAAAATATGGTATGCAGCAACTTGAGAGAAGTGATCAACATACTTATCACAAATCGATATGTAGAAACTTTAGAAAAGAAATCAACATAAATATTATGAATCAGTATGCAGTAACTTTAGGGAAGAAATTAACATAAATATCACAAATCTTGTAAGTCGTAAAATGCTTGACCCCAAAAGGGCCCAACTTTGGCAGGATAGAGCCTTGAAATTCACTTCTAGAAAAGCCTTCATCATCCCCAACTTCGTTTCCTAGTGCCTAGATTGAGACCATTATCCATTTATATGAATATGGTCCTTGCTATAACTCATAAAACCAATTGCCATACAAGTCCAAAACTGAATATGCACTAAAAATATATCATTTTTCTTATAAAATATTTTTTGTGAACTGATTCATTTCTGTCTTGCAAGTGAAAACAAGAATTAGTGTTCCACTGAAAATTCTTAGCATATAAATTCTCTGCAAGAGTTTCACTCCTAACAGAAGAATTAATCATCAATACCAATTCAAATTCTAGAACTACTTTCAAAATAAAAGAATTCAAGTTTTGGAAACCTATTCTATCATTCAATTAACAAACATATCTTAATCCTTTAGAGCCAACAATTTGTGATAATTCTCTTTCCAGTCTAATTCCACTGGAACTAGGAAACCTTGGGAATTTGCAGTATATAGACTTTGGGAATACTCTCTTGAATGGAAGCATACCTGGCATATACAACTGCACTACTTTGTTAGAACTCAGCCTCATCCTTAACAATCTCACTGGTACGATCGAGTCAAACATCAGTGATTTAGTTAATCTTCACCATTCTGCCACAAGCGACCAAATTCCCCCCTCTCTCTATCTCTCTCTCTCTCTCTCTTTCTCATTGTGAAAGAAACTAAACTACTCAAGCTCAACTCATGTTCAACTCGTTAATTTTTCAAGTCAAGCTTGAACAAGATACTACTTGGCTCAATAAGATTAAATGCATAATAATAATAATAATAACACTAAACTATTTGAGGTCAACTCATATGGTTCGATTAAAGTTCAATTGCGATCGACTCGAAAGGAAAAAAAAATCAAGGTTGAACACATTTTGAAGCACGTTTACAGCCATATCTCTTGCCCCTCAAACGAAGGAGCAAGCGAAATCATCAACCAAGAAAACAGTGCCTCAAATCATTAATGAATGTATCCTCACATCTTGCAACTAGAATCCAAAACAAATAAACAAATACTGGCTCATGAGATAAACAAACAGAGAGAGAGAGAGAGACCATTCAAGTAGTAAAATGAAGCAAAAACTAAACTATTAACCTTTTCAAGTTAAGACTACAACAACTTTTTGTATCCACAGTAAAGACCATAATTAGTATAATACCTGTACATGGGAAGTCTTGGCTAGCAAACTTGTCTAGCAAAAAAAAAAAAAGTAAGGGTGTTGCAATGGGTGCATAAGGAAAAAATCCCCAAAAATGGTTCCTGCCAAATAAGTGGCGAAGGGACATTTCTCTACAACTACTCTTATATTTCCACAGAATGTTACACATTTGACCCCCAAGTTGGTCATCTAAATTTAAAAAATAAAAAATAAAAATCCAAACTGATAAACATCACACACGGTTCTACAAATAATGTCAAAGATAAACAACAAATAATCTTGTCCTACCATACTTGTTGCTTGCATTTAAGGCATGTAACATTAACTTATGCAATCCTAAAAAATTTACAAATAAAAGTTTAATCATCAAATGTTAGTTTCAAGAGGCAAGTATTGTATTATTGATCAACATAATACTTAAAAAATGTGTGTGTGGGTGTGTGGTGTTTGCGTGTGTGTGTGTGTGTGTGAGAGGAGAGAGAGAGAGAGTATACATACACATGTCAAAAATTAAAATGCATTAAAAATTAAAAAAACGCGTTATTTCTATTTCCGACGATAAAGACCTTAAGCGAGCTATTTTCCGCAGAGGATAAAATCATGCACTTCTTAATTCAAGAAATGAACTTCCACGAAATATCTCATTCATATACCGTACAAAAAAATATTACCTAAAATCTCAAAAGAAAAAGAAAATGAAAATGAAAAATGCCAATTCAAAAACAATCAAAGAGCAATATCTCTAACTAAGCAACATTATACACCACTAGAAACATACTATACAGTAGAATTGCACATATATGTTTCATCAAATTGCATTGCAATGTACGTCTCTATTTGTTCCTCAACAATAACCTTGTCCCCAAAATGTTTGAACTGCAACAATATTATACAAACCACCATAAACAACAGAGCGAGCAACAAACTTGTCATTAGAATGCATTGTTACTAAAGTGATCTCCATAGAGCATTTTTCTATCATTTTAGTTTGTTTTCACTCCAATTCAATTTGCAATGGTGAATATAACAAATTCTTCTCAATAACAATCCAATACCTCAAATTCACCAAATTCCTTTTGTCTATCCAAAATCTGCCCCATTAGAGCCAAAAAATCCTCTAGCAAATCGGCCTATTAGAATCGATTCGACAAGATGTTTTATACAACAGTTGATTCTTGCATGCTTGGTTTTTAGATTATATATCTATATCTGTATATATATATATATGCAATGTGAGCAACAAGAATAGAACCTCGGGGAGAGAGAGAGAGAGAGCGCGTTTGAGCATGCCTGGCTAGGGTAAATATAAATAAAAGAAAATAGGAGAAATAAATGGGGGCAAATATAAAGCCCACTCATAAACTGGACCTTTTAGCACCCCTGACTTGTGTCTCATAATGCCGTTGCAAATATATTTTTTGCCACGGCCAAACAGACGGTCAAAAAAAAATAATAATAATAAATAAAGAAGAAGAAGAAGACGCAAAAAGTCAATTTTCTAGTAGTGCTCTTGAGGAAAAAACAATACCAACTACTAAGGGATTCAATATGTAGCAGACTCTATGGAAAAAAACAATACATTCTCTTATGTGTAGTTCTTTCATGGTCCCATTTGCCATTCAGCACATCACCAATGGCTTAACGCTTTTCCTTTAACTACATCCTGCAATTTTATTCATTCAAAAAAACAGCATCCTGCAATTCCAAATAAGGAAAACTCATAAATAAGACAAATTCTAGTGAAAGCTTGTGGAAAAATACACCTAATTAAGTAGCCCTCGTTACAATATTGTCCCCAAAAGGGCACTATCAAAAACAGTCTTATATAACTTCCTAACCTTCTTTTGTTTTTCATGTTCTCAGCTCATTCCCATCATAAACTCTGCCACAAGCTCTTGATATCTGACAAAGTTGAATGTTTTCATGCTATGTTTTGATCAATGATCATTGATGAGTTGAAATGCCAAAGTGTAACACCAATGCTATCATACATTTGCAAAAATGAATGGTTATTTAATATGCCATGAGGGACCAAAGAGTGCCACGTGCCAACTTATGTCAATAATTTGGACAGCAGTTGGGAATTGAGCCAAATTGGGAATGATCATATAGTTTAGAAACCAAATTGGAAAAAATAAACTTTAAGGGCCAAGGTAAGAATTCAATAATACTTTACAAGGACAAAATATAATTGTACATATAGAGAGAGAAAGAGAGAGGGAGAGAAAGAGAAACCTAAGCAGAAGAAAGCACTTCTGGTGAAAAGCGAACATATTGTTGACACTGTAAACTGCAGAACTAACATCAAAACCACAGCCAACTTTCCCTTTTCCAATCTCACATCATAAACCCCACCTAGAAGCATGGAAAACTTACACAGTTCAGTCCATAAAACTTTGGCTTGCTCTAAACATTGGCATATGGAAACATCTCAAGAATAATAACGTGCAAATTTGTAATAATACATTAATGATATAGATAAGATGATTCAAAAAATCACTTTCATTCTAGTAGCTCAGAAAGCATAGTCATTATAGTTGATGTTTCAATTGTAGTAAAAAAGAAAGAACATGATACGCAAAAAATATGAGCAAATAAACACCACCAAAGATAAAATAAGTTGAAGATTTTAAAAGTACAATGGGAAAGGTACAATACCTGATTCCGATATGAATAGAAGTCATTGCAACCTAAGATTGTAATGTCAAGACCTGCATGAATAATCTAGTTGAGACATTAGATATTTACAATTACTTAATTTTAATAAGAAAGATGAAGCATCAAACATTACCTTGTAAAAGTAGTTTGTGTAACAAATCCTTCTTATTCTTATCCAATGTCGCAAGGGCTGCTGCTACAGCATATTGCACTGCATATTCTACAAGGGGTTCCTTGATTCACTGAGATTTTAAGCCAACACTGATAAGCGTCACCCCAAGCCAATATACCATTTGTTTTCCCCGTTATTTGAATTTAGTCATTAAGATGAGAGAAACCACTAAAAATAATTCTTCTTCAGAAGACACAAATGTGGATTGCTTGGCAGCTGCTCTTCTTGCCCCGGCTAGTCCAAGGTAACGAAGTAGAGGGAGAAAAGTAAATGTGGATTGCTTGGTAGCTCCTCTTCTTGCCGTGGCTAGTCCCACAGAAGACACAAATCCTCTTGAACTTGGATTGCTTCATTTCATTCTCTCTACATCACTCGTCCTAGTTACAATATCCATAGAAATTCAAACTATATGTAGAAAATATTAGTAGAACATCAGGGAAAGTTTTCGTCATAATTTCAATCTATAATGTGAATTTAGGACCTTTTTATAAGTCCAAAAATGATGTTCTATATTTAATTGAAACAACCTTCAAGGTTCTAGCTTGGCTTTTATTATTGCTTATTACACTTTACAAGGTCAAATGAATTATACACGACCAACATACATATAGTCTATTCACAAGTTTTGTATGAATCAACCAAAGACCATTAACAATCTAAAACTTCAATGATTTATAAAATGGTATATTAAATTTTATGAGATTTGTAGTTTCATTTGAAGAGATCACTGTAACTAGATTTATTGTGGAAGCAAGAAGAATTTTATTGTTATTATTATTATTATTATTATTGCCAGTGATATTTATATTAATATTTTATTTTTGTCTAACTACATCTAGGTAGGAATCAATTCTCTATTGCATGAAGGTAAGGTAAAAGCTATCATTCGATATGGATGGCATCCAGAGAGTAAGGTCACTAATTAAGAATGAGGCAAAGGAAAAATGAAAACACACAAGTATATCAAAATTTTCCTTTTCTTTTCTTGGTTTCCCCAATTTATAAGCAACCAAACAGTGCGTAAAAGGAATCCGTGCACCAGATTCGATTCCTCAAGAGATACTGAAATTAATAGTACCTGTGAGAGATTCAAAGCAGATAAAGAAAATAAAAAAAGCAGTAGAAGGATTCAAAGAAGATTCAATTACTCCTTCAACTGTATTCAATTTCATACAAAACTATATATTAATTAATGTATATAATATCACTGTATACAACTGGGCTTGGCTATGGCCCAAATAGCCTGTTCCATTGGATAGACCTCATTATGTCTTGTGTTTCTTCTGTGAACTTCCCTATATTATGGAATGGTGAAACCATGGATACTTTCACTCCTGGAAGGGGTTTGAGACAAGGTGACCCTCTTTCACCATATTTGTTTGTACTATGCATGGAAAGACTGTCCAATATGATTAGAGTGCAGGTTGAAGCTGGAAAATGGAAGGGGCTTAAAGCTTCACACCATAGTCCACCCATCTCCCATTTATTTTTTGCAGATGACCTCCTCCTCCTTGCTAAAGTTGACCAGTCTAATTGTGTTACTCTCATGGAAACCATGAATGAATCTTGTTGCATATCTGGGCAGAAAATCAACTTGCAAAAGTCTAAAATGTTCATTTCCCCTAACCTCCATAGAAATTTGGCCAAGGAGTTAAGTTCTTTTTGTGGTATAAGCCTCACTCAAGATCTTGGTAGATACCTTGGAGTTCCCCTTATCCATAGTAGTCTTAGTAGAAATCTTTACAGTGGCATCATTGAGAAAATCCAAAAGAAGCTGTCCTCTTGGAAAACTAAGGCTTTATCCTTAGTAGGTAGGACTACCGTGATCCAGTCTGTATCATCGTCTATACCTTCTTATATCATGCAAACTTCTAAACTCCCCCAAAGCATTTGTAAACATATTGATAAGCTTAATAGGAATTTCTTATGGGGTGATCTTGAAGGAAGGAAGAAGGTTCATTTGGTGAATTGGAAACAAGTTTGTAAAGCTAAACAAGAAGGAGGTTTGGGTCTTAGAAGGGCTGAAGACCAAAATATTGCCTTATTGGCCAAATTAGGTTGGAAGTTAAATTCTGAACCTGACACTATTTGGACCAAGGTCCTCAAAGGCAAATATTTACACAATCACTCTTTTTCAAACTAGCCTACCGATAAAAAGGCATCACAAATTTGAAGGAGCATTATGAGAACTAGGGACATTTTAGCAAAAAGTACCAAATGGACTGTGGGTAATGGTAAAAGCATTTCATTTTGGAAAGATTGGTGGTGTGGGGATGGGCCTCTTGATTCTATTTTTCCAGCACCACACACTCAAGAAGATGTAACAGTTGATGATATGATAAATGAGGAAGGAGATTGGGATTTGGATAAGGTAAACAACATCCTTCCTTCTTCTATGTAGCACCTCATCCACCAGATCCATCTCCCTATTTTTGTAGAATTAGGCGACAACCCCCACTAGATTGGCTCCTCCAGTGGTGATTTCTTTGTTGGGGCTGCTTATGTCTTGGTCTCTAATCAAGCTACTGCACAGGATATTAGACTACCTACCTAGAGCTGGATTTGGAAATTAAAAATCCCTAAAAAACTAAAGGGTTTCATTTGGTTGCTACTGCTTGACAAGGTGCTTACCAACCATCAAAGAAAGATTAGAGACTTCACTAATGATGACACTTGCCCAAATTGCTAGAGTTGCTGTGAGGATTTAAACCATCTGTTGAGAGAATGCAAACAAGCTGTTGAAATTTGGGATCTTCTTCCCAATCATGGCTGGAGAAATTCTTCCTATAATATGGCAGTAGATACTTGGATTCAATATAACCTTAAGAGCAAGAACAGAGAGTGCTTCAATATTCCTTGGAATACTGTCTTTCTGGTGATCTTGTGGAGAATATGGAAGGCTAGGAACAATAGGGTGTTCAATCAAGAAGCATGCAACACTCCTGAAATTGTGAGGCAGATTCAGCAAGAAGTAGTAGCAATTCATCAGGCTTTCCACACTGACCAGTTTACAAGTAACTCTTTATTCATCAACACTGATTGGTGTCCTCCTTGTGCAGGTCAATTAAAGCTTAATACGGATGGTTGCTCCAAGGGAAATCCTGGCCCAGCTGGGTATGGAGGTCTGCTCAGAGATAGTAGGGGAGCTTGGATTTTTGGATATCATGGAAAATTGGAGTCAGCAACTAGTGAAGAAGCTGAGCTTTGGGGCATTTATAGAGGTCTCACCATCATTTTGGAGAAAAGCCTGCGAGATATCTTGATTGAATCTGATGCAGCAGCAGTGGTGCTCAACATCAACAACTCCACACCCAACAACTATCCTTACCGAGCTCTACTGGAGGACATCAAATTCCTCATGCACAGATGCAACTGCTCTGTTAGCTACATACCCCGTGAAGGGAACCAGTGTGCAGATGGGCTTGCAAATCTGGGCGTTCGCCATGGAGAAAACCTAGTAGTTCTAGACGACCCTCAAATTAATCTTGCTAGTCTGCTTGTTGCAGACATTGTTGGCTTATCCTGTGAAAAGGCCTAAGTTTGTTTAGGCCTCCTTTTGGCTTCTGTTTCTGTGTTTTTTTTTCCTTTCTGTAATCCTTTCTTTTTAATCAAAAAAAAAAAAAATAGCCTGTCCCATCCGCCCAATTCAACTCGATAGTTTTAAGATTTAAAAAAATATTCAATTAATTGTCAGACTGAGTTTGAGATAAATAGTTTTAGTTTTAGCTAATCAAACACGAATGGCGTATTTATAAAATATTATTTAAAAAAATATTCATTTAATTTTTGGACTGAGTGAGATAAAGAATTTTAGTTAGTCAAATCCGGTCCGTTTATTTATAAAATATTAATTTTATATTTTATATTATTTAATTATAAAATAATTTTAAAAAATAATAAAAGATAAAGAAAAGTGAAAGTCATCCGACCAAAACAAATGCAAAATTAGAAAAAATCTGTATGTTCTCCTAGTCTAATTTCGTCCCTCTCAACAAACACGTGTAAGAGTATCCATCTATATATACTTTATCCCTAGCAGGTAGGACTACTGTGATCCAGTCTGTTTCATCTTCTATCCCTTCTTATATCATGCAAACTTCTAAACTCCCCCAAAGCATTTGTAAACAGATTGATAAGATTAATAGGAATTTCTTATGGGGTGATCTTGAAGGAAGGAAGAAGGTTCATTTGGTAAATTGGAAACAAGTCTGTAAAGCTAAACAAGAAGGAGGTTTGGGTCTTCGAAGGGCTGAAGACCAAAATATTGCTTTGTTGGCCAAATTAGGTTGGAAGTTTAATTCTGACCCTGACACTATTTGGACCAAGGTTCTCAAAGGCAAATATTTACACAATCACTCTTTTTCAAACTGGCCTACCAATAAAAATGCATCACAAATTTGGAGGAGCATTATGTGAACTAGGGACATTTTAGTTAAAGGTACCAAATGGACTGTGGGTAATGGTAAAAGCATTTCATTTTGGAGAGATTGGTGGTGTGGGGATGGGCCTCTTGATTCTATTTTTCTAGGACCTCACACTCAAGAAGATGTAACAGTTGCTGATATGATAAATGAAGAAGGAATTGGGATTTGGATAAGGTAAATAGCATCCTTCCTTCTTCTATGCAGCGAAGATGGGTGAGAGGAGAACAGTGAGAGAGAGCA